AAATCGCTCTTTCTCTGGCTTGATCATTTTCGCGCATCTTGATTTTCTCGCTCTTTCGAATATGGAGCCTAGGGGTGAGGGTGTGACTGTCCACGCATCTGGAGAAAATACGCACACATCCACACCTAGACTCACACTCTTACCCTAAAAGGATATGTCTATGTCAGGTTAGTTTTCGGTACAATTCATTTAAAAGCTAAAGAGATTTAGACGCTCCTGAATCCCTCAGGCGGAAGAAGTACAGCAGCCTCAAAAACTTTTTGTCCGATAAGCGACTGATTACCCTTCATTATGATAGAGTTCGGGATATTTATGACACATGTATAGTCAAACACAGAAAGGCCAGGTCAAACGTCACGGCCGCCGTATACGAGGAGCATAAGTTCGTGGCCACGAGGGCTTCTTCATAGTATGCAGCTCAAAACTAAGTCAAGAACCAGTTTGCTTGAGTCTGGAATCGTGTCGATCAATCCATGATTTAGCAGTATTCCATCGTCACAGAACCGGGGTGCTCACATAAACTCATAAACTGTAAATGGGTAGATAGCGTACACATTTTAATACTCACTTTTACAAATAGAAAGTAGAGTGGAAGAAATTTTTGCAGCTGTCGTCAAAACGCTCAGAATGCGATTCGCCTTGCAATCGGATATATACGAAGGCTGAGGCTGGCTGAAAGAGAAAAGAAATACTGCAATGATAGTCGCTTAGTAAGGATAACGCAAGACGACGGTAGGCATGATGATGAAAGACACGACCGCTTCCATAAAATTATGCTATGAAATCAGACTGAAATAAATATGCAGCGGTTCGGATGTGAAACGTTGCTTTTTCTTGATAAAATACGACAAAATTGTCTCAATTACAGTTGAGGGAGACATGCTGACTTCAAGTAGAGCTGCAACCAAACAAAAATGTGTTGGGATAAAATTTCCCTATTTTTATCGTTCGATCGACCTTAAATCGCCGCATAACTGTCGGTGAAGGCAGATTAAGCATGGTCGAACGGCACTATCGACGGATTGATCGATAACGGTGAAAGGTGGATAAAACGAATGGCAATCCCGACGCCGACGTTATCCGGCGGTGAGCTCTTGACGAGGAACATTGACCAACAGCAAGTGATCACGATTGATCGGTCCGAAGCGATCGAAGCTTGGATAGGCTGGCAAGAGAGCCAGTCGATCGGTGATGGGATTCAATATTATCGGTGGTGGTTTCAGGGATATCATCCGGTATATTTTCCAGAGAAGCTGATCTAGAATAGACAGAAGAGTGAGCATAGCGTGCGAAAAAAGGAATGTTTCATTCCATAGAGTTCATTTCGAAGATAAAGGAGATTAGCGTTGTTGAGGATAATGGAAGACGACATTGCTACATCATTCGACCCGATCGACCATCCAATCGTTTAATGTTGCTACTGCATCGTCGTTTGGTTCTTCGGTTCTACATACAAAGTGAAGCGATACTTTAAATGATTGTATCCATACTGAAGCGGTCATCAAGTGACATTTATCCAACTGCATTGCCTTCCTATCATAAGAAACACAATGACAGACTTTCGACTGAACTTAATGCTACTGATCACTTATCGCTTGCCAAGCATCACAAGAGGACCAAAACAAGCAATGACATTGACACAAACCTGTCTTTCCTTCAATCCCAACCATCTTGTTCTTGAACAGTCTCTTTCTTTTTTCGTTATCTTTGTACGATTTCTCGCTTTTCCTCTGTACTCGAACGTTGACTCTGGTCGTTGTTGATTCGTCGTCGATCAAAATGAAAGAATTCCTCTACAAAACGGCAATCTCCTTGAAGAATTGTCGAGTTGAATAGAAAAATCATTCTTCCTTCGCAAGATGACATGATTTGCCCTTCAGTGGTGATAATTTGCTCAGACTTTTGGATATTTTGTCTGTTGATCTGGACGCCTCTGTCTCTCTTCCACAGTCCATGACACGACTCCACAAGGCGTTCTCTCCTCCTGCTGGTGCTCTCTCACCCTGACACTCACCACCTCAATAGGCATATGGTAGGGTGCGGGTGCCACGAATTCTTGATTCCTTGTTCTACAACTGTCGTGTTCTCGATTCGAGAGTGAGGGTCAGTTCATATAGGTAGTTTAGAATCCATGCTACGAACGACGATCGTTCGGATGGAACTCAATCCATTCATCATCAGGCGAGTTTAGATTTTAGTAGTGAAGATCGATCCAACAAGTAGGATGGAATATCAAAAGAATTTTCCTGAAAGAAGACATACTGAAGTGTACGCTTGATTACGTAATTTTGAAATCAATAAATTGGAAGATGGTCAAGTATTTTATTTTATTATGATGATTATGCTTGGTTGTGGTTGATGCTAGTTCAGTTGCTGCACCTGATAACAGAGAGGTTCCTGATCTTTAGTCAGCATGAGCAAGAATGGATAGTTGGGGTTTGAGTGAAGTGGCGAAAGCGTTATGTGGCGCTGCTTGCTGCTATAAAAATTGTGCTGTTGGTACTTGTATCAAATCTCAAGAAAGACCAGTCTGCAGTTGCTCTCGTTGTGCTCCAGGCGCTGGAGGCGGCATCAGCTGTGCACTGTCAGGAAAGAACTAAAATGAACAACCATCGAAAAGAAATCAGAGATTGAGAGTCAAGAAAGTTTCTTTCCAGGTCTTCCTTCTATTCACCCCAATCTCTTCTTCAAGAATCTGAAATGAATCATCAACTTTTCAGAGTCATTTCAAAGAAAGATGATCTCTCTAGCTGATCACCGTCCAGAGAAAAACTTAGACGAACACATGGAATTAATACTCTTGTTCTACCTCTTCTGTGACAGGATTATTTCTAGCGAAAAACTTGTCCACATTTGCTGGATAACTAATCTTTTTGTCTCTACTCCAAATCTGCCAGATTCTTCAGTCTGCTTTAGGTATGCACCAGTACCGGTACCGGTACCAGTAAAAGTGCTCCACAAAAGTTCAAGGCTTTTTTTGTTTTTGCAATAACTCAACTTCCATGGTAGGTACAGACTTCGTTCTTTCGCCAAAAGAAAGCGTACGTTGAGTACTATAAACCCTAAGAAAATGGTTAAGTTCCGGCTTAATTTGACTGAGCTAATGGAAAAACGCTGTGTTCTACACAGTTGGAAAATCTTACTTCCTGAGTATTTCACGTTTCCTAACCAAGAGAATTGCGCAAAAAAGTTTCAAAAACACATCATTCGATAGAAAAGTTTACGGGCTATCCGTTGCTGATCAAATTTTCAACTTTTGAGCATGTCCATGCATTGAGCATGGAGCATGTCTTCACCGACAGAATCTTGTGTTAGTTAGAACTGGTCCAAAAAATGGAAAAACCTTGATTACTCCGCTCTAACTAAAACAAGATTTTGTCGGTGAAGACTTGCTCAAAAGTTGAAAATTTGATCAGCAACGGATAGCCCGTAAACTTTTCTATCGAATGATGTGTTTTTGAAACTTTTTTGCGCAATTCTCTTGGTTAGGAAACGTGAAATACTCAGGAAGTAAGATTTTCCAACTGTGTAGAACACAGCGTTTTTCCATTAGCTCAGTCAAATTAAGCCGGAACTTAACCATTTTCTTAGGGTTTATAGTACTCAACGTACGCTTTCTTTTGGCGAAAGAACGAAGTCTGTACCTACCATGGAAGTTGAGTTATTGCAAAAACAAAAAAAGCCTTGAACTTTTGTGGAGCACTTTTACTGGTACCGGTACCGGTACTGGTGCATACCTAGTCTGCTTCCGAGTAAAATAGCCAACACTCGTTAAAAAGTAATCCAGCCATGTAAGTGCGAAACGCAGATTACGTACGTTTCGAGTCGCTCATCGATCTAATTGCGTCCGAAGTTGAAGCATTTTCTCTCTCAACTCATCTAAGCGCAGGAAACGACCTCGTCCTACGATTTTCTGTCTGATCAGATGTGATCATATAAGATCGTTTATGAATATCTGGTATGACCTTGTAAGAATCTTGTAAGATCCTCCCGACTGATTGCTCGTCCTGGGTGGAGAAAAAGGATGTGTAGTGTGGCGATGAAAAGGGAGAACTGATCGGCAATCGAACTTGATGTCCGATCAGGAAGAAACAGAAGAAAATATAGATATATATAGAGAGATGAACAATAAAGGTAGAATGAACAAAAATCGGTTAGCGACAATGTAGTGTCATTCGTTGACGCTAACAGGAACGAAGGAGAGTAGAAGAAGTTCGATGACGGCAACGATCAAAACAACAACAGAATAATACACACACACTTCTATCTCGATTATTCACGTCGCTTACATTCAGGAGAATCTCTCTCTGTCTGTAACATCTCCCGGCTGTGCTTGTACTTGTGTGAGAACTCGTTCATTTCTTTCACTTGTTTGAAACAAGTGAAAGAAATGAACGAGTTCTCAACTACACAGTGTGTAGTTTTTTGAAAATGGCTGCATATGAGCTCCTCCACGTAAGCCACGACCGATTTTACTCAATCGCATATCCCAGATTTCTGAGTGGAGTTTAGAATAGATCTCGGCTCGGTAGTTCTGGAAAAAAAAAGTTGAGCTCGATTCCACTAGTTTCTTGGGAGTAAACCTACTGGGAAGTTCATTTCACTACTATTTTTGATAAAAATCTTGAAAAATTGCGCAAAATCTGTTTACAAAAGTGCTTGTAACTCTGAAAAGGGATGTAAAGGAGCCATCAAAATTTTACTTTTCTACCTAAATACACATGCTCTACAAGATGGGATAGGTAAAACACAATTCTAAGACTGTGATTGGGCAACCTTCTATGGTAGTCGGTCGTGGCTTACACGGACTGGCTCATATAGAGTCGAAACATCGAAGTATAAAAAGATGTTTACTAAAGCCGCTGTTGTCTTCTCATCGATCTTGCAAGTTCAGCCTTTAAACAAGTCAAATACAAACACACATTTACAAGAAAAGATGAAGGAGGTACGTGGAGTATTTCTAACAGAATCCCTTGCGATTTTAATGGCTCCGAGTTAAACTACTGAGGAGTAGTATCATTCAATGCCTCCCCAGTTTCTGTTGAAAGATGCATCCTAATGGTTGACATCGAGGCTTTATATTTCAAAATCAATGGATGTTCAGATGGCAACGTTTTCTGCGCTAGGTCAAGTGCTTTTCTGAAAGCATTCAGTGCTTCTGTATAATCATTTCGCACTGTATGAAGAAATCCGATATTGTAGTAAGTTGTATGCAGTGATGAGTCGTCTGGACCAAAATGCTTTGATTCAATTTCCAAAGTCTGTTCAAAATAGACCGAAGCTTTCGTATAGTCACCAGTTTGCAGACAACAAATTCCAATGTTACTGAATAATGGGGCGAGAGATGGATCATCTGGGTCAACGAGAAAACGATTATTAACTTCCAATGTTTGTTCAAAATACTTCAGCGCACTAGGGAAATCACTCAACTCAAGATAAATTATAGCAATGCTGTTATAGATTTTAGCAAGGCTTGGCTGATCACTGACATCTGATTGGTGTAAATGTAACAATTTTTGATAGTATTCCAATGCTTTGGTCGATTCTTGCAAAATATGATATAGACTAGCAATATTTTCATATAGTTTTACAACAGTGGGATGACTTTCACCTAAGTTAGCCGTTTTGATTCTTAAAGCATTCACAAAATATTCAATTGCTTTTGGATAATCATCCAGTTTATAATATATCGCACCCATATTATTGTAAGTCGTTGCTAGATCCAAATCATCAGATTTAAGAACCACTAAATTAATTTTTAGTGATTTTTTGAAATAATCCAGTGCTTGCAAATTTTCGTCCATCTGCTGACAAATAACACCCATTGTGTTATACGTTTCCGCCAGCTCAGGAGTATGTAGATGCAATATATGTAGTTGAATTTCCATTTTTCTTCGATAGCTTTCTAAAGCCTTTTTGTTATTCGACATCGCATAATAGATTTTCGCCACATCTTCATAAATATTACAAAGCTCTAATTGATTTGAGCCTACCGCTGTCGGTTGACCATCCATTATTTTGTCGAGATATTCTTCAGCCCTAGAATATTCACCGTTCGTATGGTACGTACACGCCAGGTATTTATATGTCAAATAAATTCTTTGATTGTGTGGTTCCAGAAATTTGAGCTGACTTTTCAATGTCTCTTCATAGTAAACTATCGCTTGAGGTGCATTGCCTAGTTTGTAATATAAAGCACCCAAATTGTTGTAGATTGGAGCTAACTCTGGATGATTTGATGCACTCTGACTTAAAAGAAGTTCAAGTGCTTTTTCATACAACGTTAGTGCCTCTGAATCATTTTCCATGTTAGAATATACAGCACCTATATTGCTGTAGATAGTGGCCAAACCATGATAGCTGGGTCCAAACATTTCTAATTGACTTTGCAAGGCTTTCTCGTAAAAACTTAATGCCGTTGGATAATCTCCCATATGCTGATAAACATCTCCGAGATTATTATTTGTCGAAAAAGTGAACGAATGATAATGCCAAAGTTATGCGTCTGGATTTTCAATACTTTTTCAAAACATTCCAATGCTTGCTTATCATTATTCATTGTAAAATAGCACGTGCCCATATTGCTATGTACCATAGACACATCTGGATGATCCACACCGAAAATTTTTATTCGAATTGCTAACGACTTTTCGAAAAACTCCAAGGCTCGGTTACACTCTTCCATGGTTTGATAAACTGTTCCAATATTATTATATGATGTTCCGACAGATGGATGACTCTCGCCAAAATTACTGATGGCAATATCTAAAGATTTCTCATGATATTTTAATGCTAAATTACAGTCACCTTTTTCACGATGGATCAATCCCATATTACTGTATGACGTGGATAAATCGATATGATTCGAGCCTAATAATTTCAATTGTATATCTATTGCCTTTTCGCAATAATCTATTGCTTTCAAGTAATCACCCATTTCTTTTCGTAAAAGACCAAAGTTGTTATACAGCGTAGCTAAATAGATGTAATCTATGCTACCATTTTTTACATAAATGTCAAGTGCTTTCTGATAGTATTCTTCAGAAGCAGATAAGTTGCCCTTATCTTTATAAGCTAGAGCAATATTATTGTATGTCAAACCAACACTGGGGTGATCCGTACCAAGAGTTTTTATCTGAATCGCTAGTGCCATTTCATAATATTCGAACGCTTGAACAAGATCACCTCTCTCTTGATAGATCAAACCCATACTAATGTAAGTCGGTCCGAGTTCAAAATGATCTGAACCAAATATTTGCTGAAAAAATTCTAAAGATTTTTCAGTATTTTCTAAGGCTTTTGAGTATTGTCCTTGAATTCGGCAAAGCGCTCCAATATTATGATAAGTTGTAGAAAGTGTTCTTAATGTGTTTTTCAAAGCTTTATTGTAAAATTGTAATGCTTCTGGGTAGCGTCCCATGTGCTGATACGCCAATCCAAGATTATTATACGTAGTGTTATAGTCCCCTTTGCTACGATATATTAATGATTTATTATCGGACATAATATATTCTTTTTCAATATCTTCGTCTTCATCATCATCCACACTACATGTCATTCTAAATCGCATTGCTTTTTTATAATATTCCATCGCTTGTGCAAAATCAGCTTTTTTGTCATAAAGAACAGCAAGATTTTCATAAAATATCCAAATATCAGGATGATTTGGTTCGGTGTTATCAATAAGCATTTTAAAGTACTTTTCTGCTTTTTCTACTTCACCCATTTCCAATAATAAATGACCTAATGTATTTAAATCGTTGCTATCATCAGTTGTTTCTTTAATTTGACTGGTTAATTGTTTTAGTTGTTCATTTTGCTCGGACACTAGTTCAAGTTTAACAATCCAACAGTTTTTTTCACTTTCTTCAGAAATATTTCCAATTTGAAAAAGAGTTCCCATTGAGAACAAAACTTCATTTTCATCTTTCATGAAACTTACATTTTTTATATTAGCATATGGTTTGGTCGTCACATTTGTACGAATCAAGATTTCAAATATGACTGATTCAAGAAATGGGCGTTTGGAACCATCGCCAGCAAAAATCTGAGAAACATCTTTATCGTATGTGGTCGATACAAAAGTGTTCATTGAAATTAATTTACCAATATTATCTTTTAAAACTTGTAATTCATCTGGTTTCAAGTGTTGTCCTCTGTAGACTGTTAGAATGTATTCATCTACTGTCCCATCATCTCCTACCAATGGTTCAACAAATTTGCGATGTTCTTCGGATAATTGCCAGTAAAGGTCCGCAATAAAAAAACGGAATTTAAAAATGACGTCTATATCACGTGTTCGCAGCGCTTTATTGAGTAAGCGATAAATGAATGAATCACGAGTATACCATGATATTGCTGTTTCACGAAAATAACTCGAGCGAAACTCAAGAATTTTTGTCAACTCTGAATTATTGTCGCGATAAAAGGATTGACATACAACTAGCATATCCAGTTTTGAAATATCAGACGTCGGAATGCGTAACAAAACATCCATTAGTAATTGATTCCATATGTATAAAGCACTTTCTTTGTCTAAAGCACGAATAGATTTTTCATCATACTGTAAGCTAAATACGTTCATTGGCCTTACATCAACCAATAATATTTCCGCATCATCAATGATCGTTTGCAAAAGAAATTGTTTGTCAGTAAAAACACCTCGAACTTTTTTATTACGATTGTTAATTGCCCATGTTTCATGTTTATTCTTATCCAAACAAAATACATAGATAAAAGCAATTTGTTGCAAATTATGTATGATAGGAATAACGATTTCACCTAACGAACCAGACACTACTAAAATCACTGTCTCAAATGTAATTGAGGACATGTAATCAATGCATTCTTTAGCGTCACGGAAGATTTTAAGATAATTAGTTATAGTTTTTAAGCGTTCTGTAGTATCAATAAAATCATCAGTTCTTTCTATATTGACATCCAGCCAAACAAGTGTGAACTTGTCTAGACACGAAGTAGTATGCTGGTATATTTCTGATTCCGGTTTTCTCCAAAGATCTTTGTTTGTTCTGTTTGATGCTATCTTTAAACAAATTGTACTTTTTATATGAAAGAATATGAATTGTCGATAAGATGAGCATGTCTATTTGTATCTACACTTATCACGTTTGTCACCGTTACTCCTGTCTCTTCAGAAAAAGAATGGTTAACCTTATTCATGGAATAACTGAGAGACGGAAAGACTTAGCGAGCTACAGTGTTCACTAGCCTGAAGACGAAATATCGGGGCGTCTTTGTCTCCTATATTTTACAAGAAGAAAGCGTTCCAAAATCAATATTTTTCGTGTAACATTGCAAAAGTGGCGAAACGTCGTGGATAATGCACACTAGTGCTTCCGACACTAAAAGCAAAGCTCCAAGAAGAAAGGTATAGGGAAAGTCCACAGGAGTGATACCCCCGCTCGACAGTTGAACATGCTGACATCTGCGCTGCCCACACTTTTGGAGGAGGATGTATGTGTGACTATATCTGTAGTTTTATGAGGAGGACAATGTGGGGCTGGGTCTGAGGCAAAAGCACCACTATCCCTTAAGCTCTCATCCTCGCCCACTCTATCACCTTCACAGAAACCTAGAGAAACTGTAGAATATGTATCACAAATTTCTGTCAGTTATGAATCACTACAATCGTATCAAAAACCTGATCTAAAACTGAAGAAAAACTGCTTAGTATCCTTTCGAGATCTTTTCCTAACCTTACCATAACCTTTCGTATTTCATGGCTACATACTTCATCCAATGTATGACATGATTTCTAACATTATTATAGTTCCCATGCATCACACATCAGAATATATATGGTAAAACAATTAGATATAAAAAAGTCGAAAAGAAAAACATCGAAGGAAAAATGATCGAAAAGAAAACGGCGAAAAACAAATGTCGATAAAAAATGATCGACGTGAAAAAGATCGAAAGATTGATGTTGAAGTAAATCTGGTCGAAGAAAAAACTAACAATTTCATATAGAGAATGAAAATTTTTGCTAGGGATCGTAATTCAGCCGATGCTATTCAGAAACGAATTCCTGTTCTCAACGGACGCTACAATAACAAAGAAATCAACATTGAAGATTTATTGACTGCATTATCATTACTTGTCGCAAACAGAAAATGAATTCTAGATGAACATCTCCAGTCGTGAATTTCTCCACTCGATTTCTTTTCTAATTCCTATTATCATCATGCATTCATCTACGTTCTTCATTGCTGAAAAAAATGTTTTCTCGCTTCTGTGATCAAACTCATGAAATTCTTCCGTCGATATTTTTTTCCGACATTAATTTTTCGGTGTTTTCATATTCGACAGATTTTTTCGACATACTTTCTTTCGATATTCATTTGTCGTCCTTTTCTTTTCGACATTTTTTCTGTCAATATTTTTCCTTTCGATCTTTTGGTAACAGTCAAGAATGTCCTTTCTAAAATGTCCTTTTCAATGTTCTTCAGACGAATGGCCCTTCGGAAACGGCCCTCTAGGTTATATTTCCTAAATTAAAAAGTCCTTCGAAAATGGTCCTTGGAATTTTGGTCCTGTTAGAAAAATGTCCTTTCATCACGAATGAATGCAGAGTTATGAGAGAAAGAAAATTCAAATTAATTTTATCACAACGGATGATCTTCTTATTTTTTATGCGCAATATAGACAGAAAGCCCACGTAGAAGGTCACGCTCCGTAATTTTATTGTGCTGACATCGGTAGTAGAGTTCACCGATGCGCCTTTCGGCGATTTATTGCAGCGGGAGAAATTCTTTTTCGGCTCTTTGACGCACGCTTTCTCTGAGATTTCGAATTTCGAATTCCGCAGGATTGAATAGATGAGAGTTTTCGGTGGTTTTGCCAGAATAGCGTATGAATTCATTATCGAGTGTTGTGTGCACTAGCACAGCGCAACTCCGAATCGCACACTGCCAAAATTTGATTGTCTATTTTGAGTTGAGATTCTTCAGCTGGAAATAATAACCATCGGTTTCTAGCATAGAATTTCGTTTTCGAGGTGATGGGCCTCACCGGAGTCGAGGACGAGGAGGACCCCTACCCCGACGAAGTAGGGGAAGCTGATTCTTCATCCACGATCATTCTCTCTTTCTTCTTCAAGGACTGTACAAACAGGACGGCAACTAATGTCGTCTTACTCAATCGTTGCCGTTCTTATTCGATTTACAACACAAAGATGCACATATAAAGTATCTTCCACTCCTACGTGTTAAACTAGCGTCCTTCAGACTTCGTTTGTATAGTTGCGTCATCTGTTTCGCGGTAAACTTCTGCTAAACAAAAATATGTTATAGGAAAGGACATTTGCGCGAGAGGACAATTTAAAAAGGGCCATTCACCGAAGGACATTCACTCCTGGGACATTTTGTCAAAGGACAAGATAGCAAGGACATTTCGTCCGAGGACCTAAATACGAGGACATTCTTGCCTGTATTCGGTCTTTCTATACCATACCAGTAAAAGAGCTGCGGCTCATCGATGAATCTAATATATTATTCTAGAAAAAGGATAAATATGTTCCTTACCTTTAATTGGATTTCAATAATTAGTGCGAAAGTGGTAAGAAAAAAGCCAATGATACGACATTGAAGTATAATCCACAGATACAGAATTAATCCATTGATGACACAGATAGTCGAAGTGCATAGCAGTTCTTCAAATGGCGTATGATCCATGCTCAAAAAAAGCTAAGTATTCTATTGAGATTTTCAGTCACAATTGAATCATTCAACAGCTCGTTCGTTGCAGTGAGCAGCAGGAAATCTGCCCTAATTTACTGGAAACCACTAAACCAGAGAGAAAACTGCACTTGAAATCTAAAATATATAACAGTAAAAAAGTACTTCGAGATATTTAGAAGTAGTTCAAAGTGTTTAGAAGCGATTACAAGTACACTGAAGTATTTGAACTACCTAGAGCAGTTTGTAATATATTCGAAGAATTAGAAGTACCTCGGATAAAACTAAATACAAATGAAAAAAATGAAAATGATTTGTTCATTTACTTTGAAAAAAGAGACAGGTCGTGAATGAAGGATAAACAAACAAAATTGTTAGAGTTATTCAAGTAGAATAGTGTACGTCTGTACTCGAAGTTACCTTAAATTATTTGAAACCACTTTGAACTAATTCAAGGTACTGTGAACTGCACTGAGTGCTTGGAAGAATTTGGAAGCCCTTGTGAAGAAAGTTCAATTCTTTTAAAATATTCTAAGTTTGCTCGAAATATTTCCAAATAGCGTAAAGTATCTTCTAATTAAAAAATGAAACTGTTTCCACCAAGATCATAAAAAGAAAGAAACACGGTAGAAAAGTTGTTCATTTAACGAAAAAACTAAACCCATATATTAAGAAAATCTATCTTAAACAAAAACGCTTAGTAACAGTTCATAATCCACATAACGATCCAGATCCCAGCGATTTTGAGGTCTGATAAAAAATAACGTCGAAACAGAGGGAGGGAATAGAGGCTATGAGTTGGCCACATTCTTGAAATATGTCACCAACCAAAAGCAATCACAGAGAGAGAGTGCAAGCTCGAAATGGCCAGAAAACCGGTTGCGTGGTGCCGAACTGCCCTTTAGCGAAAAATCGTTCGAAAAGTGTTAATATATCAGCTGGAAAACATCCGACAAGGCTGAAAATTTGGTTCTATGCCTAAAACAATAGGGTCTACACGATAGAATGTGTGTCACGCGGATCGGCAATGATGATTGCACATCCCTCTGTGGAACTCGACCATAGTTCTCGTGCATTGACTCATAGGTATATTCTGCAGAAAATTATCGAAAAGAATGAAAGCTGAAAAACGTTAGTCCTCATGCTCAGTTACATTATGTTTATCGCATAGGTGTATCAATTGACTTGGTTATGCAGGTATTTAGTAGTAAGTTGGCATTTTCCAACTGGATGGAAGAAAGAAAAAAGCGTTTGTCATCACTTTCGATGATTCATACATTATTGTGAACGTAGAATAGTAAGTCTTTTTCGCAAAAAGTTATAAATTATTGAAAGCAACGGAAAATAAGCTATTCAAATCAGCGACTGAATGGCTACATAATTCTAATCGTTAAAAGTACTTTTTCTAAGAAAAAAATAGCTATTTAAAAGTAATGTTTCGAAACTTGCTCGGCTGCGCAAGAAAACGTCTCTAAATGTAAAAACGTTGCACGTAAGGGAAGTTAGCAGCAGATTTCTATATTTTCGACTAACATTTTTTATTAATGCTGTGCCATCTCTAGAAATAGGTGTGCCAGATAGAACTCGATGAGTCCTATCGAATGGCACAATCAGTTTTTCAGAATATTGTTTATTTCACTGTTAAAAAAGGCAAATACTCATTTTCTGAACGAGACGAAGGTTCAAAATTTCGTATTTTGACCTAACATTTTTTATTAAAGCTGTGCCATCTCTAGAAACAAGTGTGCCAGATAGAACTCGATGAGCTTCATCGAATGGCACAATCAGTTTTTCAGAATATTGTTTATTTCACTGTTAAAAAAGGCAAATACTGATTTTCTCAACGACATAAAAAGTCAAAATTTTATATTTTCGCCTAACATTTTTTATTAAAGCTGTGCCATCTTTGGAAATAAGTGTGCCAGATAGAACTCGAAAAATCGTCCATATGGGGACGTCTGGCGAAAAATTCAAAATTAATTAAAAAAGATGCAAGTGCCAGAAAATGGCTTTATACCGTGTGGAGGCAGGATCGTCGTTCAATTCGAACCACATTTTTTAAAGACAAGATAGTCACAAATTTACCAGCACCATTAGATATTTCAGAAGTAAACCATTCAATATTATCAACGAATTTATCCGCAGAACCGAAAGTAACTCGTTCTCATCTTGTTAATGATAAACCACTAATAATTCACAAAAGAACTCTGTGCTTTTCAATGAGATATGATGAGTTTAAATTATTTTTTAATCATAAAGAATGGAAACTGACAAAGAACTGGTGTGATATAATTAGTAGAAAATTAATTGAAACAAAACTAACATGTACTTTTATATTTGAATATCATCATATTAAATTAAAACACTCAAAAAACCAAAGCACCTTTCTTTTCCTGTGTTGCTCGCTGTAAGCATAGAAAATGCAGTATCTGCGTATCTGTTAAATTACATGGTGAACCATCAAAACGTTCGGCGTTGTTATTTTGTGTTGAAGCATTGGGAGACGAAAACCACAAGAATGAAGTTGCCAGTCGTCCATTATCTGGTAATCAAAGGCATGAAATAGGTACGTTAGACATAAGAAAGCAGTCTTCGTCTCTTAAAAGATGTTTCTCGATGTCTCACTAAAACTCTAAAAAACCTTTTAGAATGCACCAAATGTTACTGCAAGTTCATTTCTTATTTCAGCTGAAGAAGCAGATCATGTTGGTCCGTTGAATGTATACGAAAACAATATCCGGAAAGCCGATGAGTCTCTTCTTCGCACTGGTAAATTCAGTTATGTTCCCACAATTGATGTTATCAAAACAGCAATAAAAGAATATAGAAAAAAATTTCGTTTTGATGAAGATTGTTATAAAGAAATTAGAATTCTACGACAATCGTTATTTACATCAGATACATTCTCGAAAATCGTGATAGGTGAGTATTTTATGTTAGTAGCGGTACCTGTTACAATCTAATATCTAAATGCCCCTTTC